CCGCCCCCCCCCCAGGAGGGGGGGGGCGGGGGGCCCCCCCCCCCCCCGGCCCCCCCCCCGGGGAAAAAAGGGAGGCCCCCCCCCCCCCCCCCCCCCCCCTCCCAACCTCTTGCTCTGTCTCACCCAATAACTTTTCGAGAAAGGGAGGTCTGCGTGAAAGTCTACGCTAAATCCCACAGAGCGCGGAAAACGCGAACCAACTGAGTTAGATCTGCGCGACGAAGCTGGGCTTGCACGGGGACAACAACACACCGTGCGACGACGACACCACAGAGAGAGGCAGTGTTGGCGCACCGGCGGCACCGTCTGCGGCATACCGGAAGAGACAAAATACCGCACGCCACCAGAGGTCCCATCCATCATGCCACCACGGAACAAAAACTCAAAACAGCACAGCCGTGCCCAATAATCTCGTTGGTACAAACAAAACAGCCAACGATCCTTTCACATCGCCGAAAACAGCATACTCTGCTACAGCAGGAGAGGGAGACTGCAACCTTCAGAGGGACTGACGGGTCACCACATGCAAGCAGAAGAACACGATCGAATACCGCAACACTGCTGCTGCTGTTGCTGCTGTACACAAAAGAGTTGCAGCGTGCACCGCGCGAGTGCTTCGCTACGACAATGAATGGCATGGCATTGGGTCGCAGGTCAACGCCCTCAGCCAGCACTTGATACACCACAATAACGAAACGTAACTCGTACAACATAACATTTGCGATGCTACATAACGACGAGGCCTCGAGGGGACTATAACAGAACCACGATCGGATGGGCTGTCATCCATCCACCCACCACGTAAAAAGACAAAACAAAAAAACAAAAAAAAAGACTTTGACTGCGCATCTGCCGGAAAGGGATGCATGTTTATCTATCTTGAGGGGCTAGCCGCAGCGATTACGGCGGCAACGATGACACCGATCATGATGACCAAACGATTATGACGCACCCTCACGGGGTGTCCCAGATCATGATGGCCTTCAGAAGCGTCTTGTGTTTTCAACCGCACTGACTGAGTACGGCGTCTTTTCATTGGTCACCCGCTTAGCGCGGTCGATGCTGACAATAAAGACCCACACCCACAAAGAGAGACAGAGCTCGCGATCGATCCTGTCACCGCCTCCGCCGCCGCCGTCGCTGCTGCTGCTGCTGCTATGCTGCTGCTGCCGCTACTACCGGAGAGCGACGTCCCCGGGATCGAGCGCCTCCTTGTCCGCCAGGAGCAGCGCGGTCACGTTTAGGCTGCGCTCCTCCCCAAGGTCTCCCACGAGCTCGCTCAACAAGATCTGGTCCACCTCCAACGACTCTTCCTCCTCGTCCTCGCTCTCTTCTACCTCGCCGAAGCCAAACCCAAAACTGCCGCTGCCACCGGCGGCCCCTCTCCCCTTACCGGCGTCGCCGCCGTTACTAACACTAGCATGACCTCGCCTTGACTGCGGCGCTGCCGCTAGTTCCGCTGCCGCCGTTGCCGATGCTTGTCGTGCTGCATCCGCTGTCGAGGAAAGAGGACCGCCGCCAACCCCCCCGTCAACACCATCAGGGGCACCGCGATTCTTCCCTCGTGGAGGGGACGGGCGCCACTGATGCCACTCGACTATACGCTCCACCAGCTCGCCCCGAGCCTCATTGGTGTCACACGAGAGCCACAGGTAACCCCTGTGGATAGATACACACAACAAGCCGACACGTTTATTTGGCACGAAAGAGAGCGTGTTGTTCGTTCACGTAAGGAGTAAGGTGGTGGCGACACACGTTTTCCCGGTGTTCGAGTGTTTCGCGAGCGGAGCGCGGAGGGGACGAGTAGGTTTCGCTTGTCGTGACTAGCGTTGATAGTGCTGCACAACAGAGAGAGAGAGAGAGGGGGGGGGGGGGGGGGGG